GGCAGCGTGGAGGACGGTCTGTGCGTTGTGGAGCCGTGGGAGGCTGTTGAACAGCAAAGCTGGATTCAAGGTGGACAAAACGACTGCGGCTTAGAGAACACTTCCCTCTTAGCCCACGCAGTGACGTGACGGAGGGGAAAGGCCGGGCGCCGTGCTGCGCGGAGAGCCGAGCCCCACCTCCAGAGCCCTGCTAATGGCCCTGCTCACTGACTTGCCCAGGGAAGCCCCTTCACAGAGCTCAAGTCATCTTTGGTTGCGAGTGGCTGAGATGGAAACGTGCTTAGGGGAAGGGGGCGGCAGGAGAACAAGCATCTGGGTTACAAACCCACCAGGACTACAGCTGTGCTTTTTATGTTCTCAGGTCAGATGCTCCCAAGTCCACCGTGTTTCTAAGTACAAGGACAAACACTAGCTTCAGCCAAAGTCAGTCTTGTCAGATGAACTGATCTTGAAATTACACTAGCTGTGGTCATTCACCAGCAAGACCCTGCCACTGTTGGAATAAGGATCTCACCCATAGTGCTACCTCATGCAAAGCAGTGCTATCAAATACGACACAGACGCAGTTTAAGAAAAAATTTACTAATCCATTAGTACTTCTGCCAATATTGCAACAGATGTGAAAGGCAAACACTGTTACAGTTTAGAAAAAACAAGTTGTACACAGTTAAAATATTAAACAAATATCAGAAAAAAAAAAAATCAGTGGCTGAGTAATAAGCCTGGAATTTTAGATCCAGTATTAGCACCTGCAGTACCACCAAAGTCCAAAACACTCGATCTGTTCTGCAGAAGTCCCCTCCTTTTCTAAATGCCTGCCCATTGGACAGTGATGCTCAGAACCTTAACCAGGACATCCTTGCTTTGATAAGGGAAAATGATATAAGAGAAAAATATTAAGTCAGCTTTGTTTGTAGGAACTTTACTTTTGCAGGTATTGCTGAGGAATGTCAATGCGTGGGGGACACTAAATAATGTACAGTTCTACTTTTCAATAGTGGCCCAGCAGACAGAATTAAGAAACCGCCTTATGCAACATCTAACAGTTCGTCAAATGAATATTTTCCTATAAATTAGATATAATAAATCCATAAAGAACCAGTTTTACACTTCACATATTAATCAGAGTAGGGTAGGAATTCTTATGTTTATTGGTTCAGCATCCATTTTATTGTACTTACTGTTTCATAAGTGAGTAGACCCCGCTCTTCTGGTGCGCACTGACAGATGCAATAACAGCACAGATACAGTAGTAGAAAAACCACCAATATTAAAGTCCAGCTATTCCTCCCCATTCTAGGAGCAACCAAAACATGGAAACAAGTAACACTTTGCCTTCTGGTTTTCCATGAGAATCAGCACAGGACATGAAAAATGCTTGTTGCCTTGAGTCACTACTTGCCAGGCAGCAGCAGTGTGCACCCCCCCACTCCAATACCGACCTCATTTCTGGAAAATTCCCAACTCTGACTTGTAGCTTTCCAAAGCATGACTGATGTACAGAAGCATTTAAGAACCAGGGAGGAACAGCACTGCACTTACGTGATTAAAACTAGACTTCCATTGGGCTTAGTGCCCCATTTCTTTCAGAAGAGTACATAGCTTTACCACTTCTGCTTTTTCTTGGGGGGGGGAAGGAAAACAAACTGAAAAGTGATCTCATTGCTTAAAAGTTTGCCACAAAATGGATGCTGATCAGCTAGGTCACCCCATGCGGAGCAGTTTTAGGAAGTTAGTCCTTGTAGTAGATGGCACCGTGGATCTGGCAGCAGAGAAAGGAATGATGCTCTTAAGTAAGAGGTAGGGGAACTTTGATACATCAAGTCCACTGTTGAGCTATCTGCTAGAAAAGAAGTTTCATATTATTAGAAACTGTTACTGAATAAAACCAACAAGACCCTACGCAAACCTCTACATAGCTATATTTTGTTATCTTAGGAGGTATGTAGCAGGAAAGGTAGGGTTACTAGATGCTGTGGTGAAAGCAGCAGGAACAGAAGACAACACTATAGATTTCATTTGTCTAACAGGAAATAAAGACCTTTATTTCTTTGTTTCTTTCTGCATAACATGCATAAATATTTCCAGTCTCTTTTCTGCAGACATTGCCAACAACCTAGACTTAGAATACCATCCCAGGACCTGCAGAGTACCTAAGACAAGGGAGCCAGTTCAATTGGAGCTTTTCGAAAGCAAAGCTTAATGAAAGTTCAATAGGTATTCTGTAAACCCAGGGATAGTAATTTTGCAGTTCTATACTGCACACAATTAGCATGATCCTTTATTTTAGCCTCTCTTTCAAGTACTCTGAGCACTCTTTGCACTTTGTGACTCTGCCACACAGTACCATGAAAGCTAAGTGCCTTTCAGCAACTTTTTCCCAGTTAAAGCTACCAAGGCTAGAGGTTGCTGCCCACTCTTAACTGAGAGCATCACGAGTAAAGATACCGAAGTGAGAACTGGAACAGCATCCAGCTGAAAAACTGCAATAAAAAGTTTTTGTATGCTAGAATACACTCAGGGACAGAGTCACGCGAAGATTTTTCCAGTTAAAACTATTTGGTAGGATAAGATCTCAAATCCAGTAGCAGAACTCAGAGTTCCTCTGAATTTACACAGAGACCATTAGAAGTCCTACGATACGCCACCTACTCCTAGCCAGTCATACCCTCTACTGCTATACAGGATAGAAAGACAGTCCACATTTTGCAGAGCCCACACAGGCTGCATTCATGAACAGATCATCCCAGATAGTGTGCAGGCTCCAAATGACCAGGTTACAGTTGGGGAGATGACTACCTAATAAAGCTCCAGTTCCAGATCAGGCTGACTTGGGTATTCATACTCCTTTAAAGCCAGTTGTTTACTGTCCACAACTATTTGCAAATCATCAACTATCCACAGCTTCATGATACTAGTCTTTCTTCATTTTAGAAGTCTCAGTTGTTTGAACACTGACAGAACTAGCTTTTATGTAATTGCTCAAAACCCACATCACCTACAAAAACATTCTGCAGTAATTGCTGTGAAATGAGTCATGAGAAATGGCTTGTGCCAAATATACGCAGATGCAGTTGGTAAAACACAAACTTATTTTGACAGCAGAACACAAGTGCCACGCAATAAAACAGATTCCCAAGTGCTAATAACCAGATAAAGAAGGATATTTTGAGATAGAATTGGCATCTACAAGCGATGCCAAGTTGACAAGCCGGAGTTGTTTAGAAACAGGTATGCATCGCAAGAATCTTCACCGTTTTGCTTTACCAGAACTTCTTTCTTATCGTGGTTTGCTCCAGCTTGCAGTAGATTAATCTGGTTTATATGCACTGTAAATATGCGTCAATCATAATCAGACTACCAAAAGACAAATCCTAGAGATGTGTACCACAGGCAGTTTAGAAAAAGCACTGAAAGAATCTAGTAATGCTACCAAGCAAGTTACTTGCTTTTTCCCTTTAGGCCGTGTAAGATTTGACTCTTAGAAAATGCAATATTCCAAGATCCAGGACAGCAGATAAGATATACTGTATAAATACAGCATCTTATCAGACGTTTCTGAGCAGAAGAGGTTTGCAAGAATCCCACCACTTGGCACATGAAACCAAGTGTCACCTCAGGCAACAGTAGTTCTCTGTTCAGTCCCTTCTAGAACAAAAAAGCTGCCATTCAACAGCACACAGAGGTGAATCTTCTATATACTTAGAATCAAGAAGGTAAAATGGAATTACTCACATTGATTTGTTCAGGATTCTGGGGCTAATAATACTGATTTCTAGGCAAAATACAAGGGGATCCTTAACATGCTGTGGTTATGACCTTGATTTCACAAATGCTCGAAACATGGAAGCTTTTAAAATAGACCCTGGTCTGAGGTACCATGGAAAACACTGAAAAGGAAAAGCTGTGTCTTTCACAGCAGTATAGGAAGAGCAGGTGCTAGCACCATCAACGATTCTTCTTGATTATTTCTCTCTTATGCTATTAGTCTGAAAACTAGAGATCTAAAATAAGCATTTAAATAGTGACCTATTTTAAAGTCCAGATTTAAGGGTTAGTCTTTATGTTTGTCTGCTCAGAACCTTATGACAGAAAAACTTCAAGAGAATAAAAAAAGATTTTTATCTACAGAAGAGAGAACAATTTTGGACGTAATACAGCATAATACAGGTTTATGCATATTTATATAATCCAGACCTGGATTTCTCTAAGGGTAAATGTGGTATCATCTGATCTACATTCAGTAGCATAATGCCAAGTATCAATATTTCTACTTCTTCAGAAAACCCAGTCCATACAAGATATATATGAACAGCCTTTGATTACATACAGTAGTGGGATAAATATTCTCTCTCAGTATCACAGAATCTACCCCTCTGAGTACAGAAAACAGTTTGAGATTGATCTAGTGTAAGATTAACACATACCCGAGACTCCCCAGTTTTATCTTCCACTGGTCATGCCTCTGTCCTCATAAATGGTAATTTCAATCTGCACAGAAAAGCTGTGAGGGAAACATACTCTAAAAAGATGATGAAAACAAACAAACAAAAAAAGGAAAAACGTTTTGATATTAGAACCTTTGATCTTTCTGCTTCACGCCTGCTGTTTCAAGGCTAGTTTCAGAGCTACAAAGCAAAAGGAACAGTCCACATAAGAGATGCCCTGTCAGCTCAGATCAGTGGTCTATCCAGCCCAGGACTGCCCTGACAACACAAACAGGAAATGCTGTGCATGGAGGGTTGTGAGCCTTGCCACCTCCTGCTAAATTTCAGGAAAGGCTATGCACTAGACAAAAGTTAACACTTCTACAGTTCAGCTAAGTCACTACCCAAACTGAAAATGCTTTTACTCAAGCTGTGTGTTTCAGGAGTTCTATACATAGAAAAATGTGGAAAACATTGAGAATAATGAAGTCAGGTAGGTGACAGCTATAAGCTATCCAGACAAATACACAGATAGCCCAACTGCAAGGAATTAGCCTTAGCATGCACTTAATTGACATTGTGTTTCAAGTTGATTCTGTTTCAACGTTCTCAAAAAATGATACGTGTTGCTCATTCTACACCTAGATTTGCTATGTGAGGCCTTTACAACTAAAGTAATAACTACATAAAATGCCTGCAGTGTGGTTCAAGAGTTGAAGAAAAAAAAAAATGTTAAAATAAGCCATGCCAGAACCAAGAGCAAGTGCTAGGCTGGCATCAACTTACAGTGATGTCATATGGCGAAATCCTCACCAGAACCTAAGCTGAGGGTTGCAAACTAAACAACAGTCATATGTCGCTTTCACGTTTTCAATTTCTATCTACCAAGTTGGTCACTTTTTTCCAATCAGACCAACTGCATTTTTAGTGGTCATTGATTTACAGGAAGCAGCTAAAGTGTTGGAAGTATTCTGTTTATACACACTGCATTTTCAAGGAATTGTCAGAGGATGGATTCCAATACTACACATTCATCGCCTTTTGATGCAACAAATCTTAATGTGCTGAAATTTTACTAGAGAACAGTCCATAATGGAGAGTAACAAGACTAATCACATATTCTGCCGTACGCATGACCAGAGGGTGCCATACTGAGATAAACAGGTAGCACATCACAGATGGACAAACCAGCAGACAATCTAAGAAGCTACGGAAGGATACAACTCTTAGTCCTCTTTCAATGGGGTCTGTCAGCAGGAGGCCCTGAGGAGCATAGATCTTCTCATTCTGTTCCTGAATGAACTTGGCAATTTTCTTTAGAACCTGGTAACAGAACAGCACAGAAGTCACAGTTCCTTAATCAGGTTTCTCTACATCAGTCAGAGCCCCACCAGCACCACAGATACAGCAATGTCACAAGAGCCTAGTACACCACTAGAGACAGAACTTGTGCGATTCCTCTGAATTACATGCAATCGTTACATTACTCACATTGACTAATACAGACAAGTCTGTCTGATGCATACATGAAACCACTCTGCAGCAAGATCCAGAGTCTATATGGAATTTGTATGATAACAGTACACAGAAATCCTACCAAGAAATGTCTTTGACTGGAGTCTATGAGACACACAGCCTTCCAGACAACAAGGTAAACAAAAGCAGCGCACCTTTTCGTAATGCGTTTCCATGCACAAGAAGATGGTATAGGCAGTCAGACAGGCAAGACACCCTTCAAGGTAGGATTGGCCCCCAAGTTTTTCAGCTTCTGCATAGAGGTTATTCAGTGTTCGGACAGTCTCTTCAAACTGCTGCCTGTCAATCTGCAAGAGAAGTCACATTTAGCTGTCATGAGCTGTCATGCCCTGCACACTTCAGAACTCGCTGATATCTTTGGATATCTACCTTCATTTATTACTTATTTGCACTCCCACACCCTGCAGCCACTGTGTTTAGAGCCAAAGTCTGAAGGACGCTGTGAGTTACAGACCTGTAGTTCTTTGTCAAACACCTGCCAAGTGATTGGACCAAGGCCGAGTTCCAGCACAATGTGAACAGAAAACAAGCACGGGTAACATAACTAAACCAATGTGCAATTTCACTGGGGAAAAAAAAAAAAAGAAAGCTCAAGTCACATGCGAAGAGGCCTGCTAGATTAGAAAGAGCAGTTAGGGAGTGGATTGACAGAGCCAACTCTTAACATCAACAATGCTTTGCCGCTGCTGCCGCGCTGGTCAAACGTGCTCTCAGTGAAACAACAAGCAGAAGAAACGAGGAAGATAAGAGCAGCGCAGCTAGAAAAAGCAACGCGGTTACCAAAGAGGCTTGTTTTGCTGTCGCTCGGAGATCTCACACCCCACCGCGTCAAAGCGAGAGGACTTGGGCCAGAGCCCGCCGAGGCGGCTCCCGAGC